AACAGGCATTTAGAATTTACCATGCCAAACCATATCATTAGTCCATTAAGTCTGGCACATAGCGCCTTGCCCAACACCAACATAAGACCCCAAATGAACCAAAAACTAACCAACCAAAAATTCTATATTTAAGACACTTAGCTGGCTAGTTGTGCAGTGCAGAGAGATTCCTTCCTTCCTTCCTAATCTCCACAGGTGAATTATGACAGTGAAATATTATTAGGTGAAGCATGAGATACGTATTTACTTTCTCCTGATTGTATTTACTTTCTCCTGTCAACACTGGTTCTCCACTTGTGAGGTAACTCCCTTCTCTTCATGTGTCAGTATAATAATTCCTGCATCTGTAATTTTCACTCCATGTATCTGAAGAAGTGGGTTTTGTACCCACGAAAGCTTATGCCCAAATAAATCTGTTAGGCTTTAAGGTGCCACCGGACTCCTTGTTGTTTTTGTGGTTACAGACTAACACGGCTACCCCCTGATACTTTCTCTTGAGTGACTACACATTTTATTTTTAAAAATTCCATATAAAGATCCATCTGGCTGTCTTCCCAATTCTGCCAGTGCTGCTAAAAACAGGAAACCATTATTATGTATGGATGATTTTGAATGCTAGTTAATTTTGTGGAATTCTACTTGTATAACAGCTATGGGAGCTCCCTAAAGCCATCAGACACTCTTGATCCTATCACTTATTGGTAGCACCCAAGAAAACAGCTCAAGGAATGGAGCTGTGGATGAAATATTCCTTGTAAATTATTACTGGCTGCCATAACCTTAGCTTAATGAGTTTCTTAATACTTTGTACTCAGCAACATTGCCTTAATGATATGTCAGTCTGGTTTTTTCCATGCTGTCTTCCAATCTGTAATTGTCAAAGCAGCTGGTGGTGGAATCTCTGTAGACGGCAAATCTTGACATCACATCTGTTGAGTACTTGATTTGTGACATATGCCTTAACCTTACACAACAACGTCCCAGAGCACTCCAAAAGCAGACAATGTTGGATTAAAATTTCAGTGAAGTGCTGCTTCTATGTTAATAATGGGTTTTCACAAACATAATCTTCCTTAGTTTGCAATGCAATTCAGCCACCAATATCCCCTCCTCCCAAATGCTAGTTGCAATGCAGTCACCTGCATCTCTTGATCCAGCATTTTTCAGTCCCATCCTAATTACTTGATCCTTGGTGCTTCCTAATACTTTCCTTAATTATCTGGCTTTTTTCCACATCCTTATTTCCATTCTCCCACTCACCAGGGGTCTCAGGAGCACAGGGTTTTGTCCCATGGTGGTTTTGCTACTGAAGAGGGTATATGTCTATGGGAATGAAAGTAGAATGGGCAAGTTGTCTTGCAGAGAAGCCATTACTGCATGTCCTTTCACAGCTCCCAGCTAGGGCCAGATGGGCATTTGCCTCTACTTGTGCTACCTGCTACTATAGCTGCGGTCAAAGTGAGGGGAGCATGGAAAGTGGAGATGTGTTCACACCCATCAGTCTCAATGATGTTTGTGATCCAGGCAGTCACCAGCACTTCTCAGCATAACAATTGTCTTGGATTGTTCACTCAAGATTTTCAATACTGTTGTTAAATTTAAAATTGACTCGGGTGCATAGGCTTGAAGGAGATGCACTAAAATGAAGCTGTCGCAGGTATCGCTCAGTAGCCTACAGGGACAGTTGAGTTAGTTCAATATATATATAGCTACAAAGGCAAGGATGCCTTTGAATGGTCTGTTTGAATGTTCCCTTTGTTATTAATGGAGTCACCACAAGTAGTAACCATAGACCAAACCACAGCTACTGAGATGGGCCTTGTATACCACATAGAGGAAGCTGGAACAGTATTAGGTGAAAAAGGCCTGCTTAAATGATAACTAGTGTGGAACCTCTTGAAAGAGGGTACCATAACTCTTTTTTAATTAGAACAGTCTAGACCTTGCCCATACTGCTGCTTCCTAATGCGGTGAAAGAACCAGTCAGGATGGGGAAGGATAGTGTAATGAAGCACAATCCTGAACTGACAATGGTGTGCTCATATGGTGCCTTTTTGGAAAGAAAGGGGCATAACTATATCTGCATAGACCTAAGAAGATCAATGTAGCAATAAGGAAGAAAGGTATATTCTTCCCATCATAGAAGGTACAATCTCAGAGTGAAATGCTAAAAAGTGTCCATTCTCATTTGGGCATTCCAAAAAAAGTAGTCCATTCCATTTTTATGTGTACAGTATAACTTCCAGCCCCCATTTCCCACAAGAGAATAGACTGGTGGGGAGATGAAGTACAAATAGCTAAGGGTTTCAGAGTGGTAGCTGTGTTAGTCTATATCAGCAAAAAGAACGAGGAGTACTTGTGGCACCTTGGGGACTAACAAATTTATTTGGGCATAAGCTTTCGTGGGCTAAAACCCACGTGGCAACACCCATTTTTTCTGTGTGTGTGTGTGTGTGTGTGTGTGTGTCTTCCTACTGTATTTTCCACTGCATGCATCCGATGAAGTGGGTTTTAGCCCACGAAAGCTTATGCCCAAATAAATTTGTTAGTCCCCAAGGTGCCACAAGTACTCCTCGTTCTTTTTGCAAATGGCTAAGAGAATTCTTGAGCAAAAAGCCCATGTGTTAGTTCTCCTGACCATAGGGCAATCTTCATGTCAGGCACTGGAGTGAATCCACCTCAACGTTTTTTTGTGTCCACATATCAGAGCGACATAGTTAATTTTGTAGGAAAATGTTTGTCCTTAGGGGCCCTGCTAAAAGGATATAAAACTGAGACATTATTCAAGTGAATTCAACTGGACAATACCCTCTTCAAGTCCAAAAGATTTTCGGATCTGGATGAGTAGAGAAGTTGGTGTTTTGTCTGAATATGTTATTATTTGCTGTTAAATATTCTTGTTAAAGATTGCTCATCGGGGGGGGAAAGGTAAGATGTGTACTGTTTCTTTAAATCTGTAACAGCTAGGTAGAGGGAGGTTTGTGAATGCTCTAAGTCAGTGATACTCAGACCTCAGTGGTTCAGGAGCCAAATTAGCAATCAACATTACCAAAGACCCACAGTAGTATGAATTCACTGTTTCATTTACTATATATACATATAATTTTCACCAATTATTATTATTTTATCAACTATAATTGGTTAATAACATAGTAAAAGCATCCTGATTGGTTAATACCTTAAATTGGTTAATAATTACATCTTACATAATTTCATATGTGCTGCAAAAAGCTGCAGGAGACACATTAAAGAGACACTTGTGGCTCCCAAGCCTCAGTCTGAGTATCATTGCTCTAGGCAGAAGTTCTACACTGAAGGTAAGATAGAAGCTTTAGGGACAATACTGTTTTCCTCATTCTACTAAAGTTTCTTGTTCAGGGTTAGAAGAAAATGATTGTGTGTTTTGTTTTGTTTTTTTTGCCATTGTCACCTGACACTCATCATTTCTGAAAGATCAGGCCAACACATGATGTTGAGAGCCAATGTAACCCTGCTTCAATGTTTCTTCCATTGTTACAGTGCTGAGTGAAAGGGTAATACATAGAGCTGTAATGTTGAATCCTTTGGCCAGCCTTCTCATTCAGGGTAAGTAAAATATCATTAGTTAGTAAGAGGTTGTTTCTTTTTTTTGTTAGATTTGAAGGGTGTAAGTGATATGATATTGTGCCTGGATTGCCATACAACTAGATGTGATAGATTGAACAACAATACTGTTTCGCAATTCTTAGCTTGGCATGCACCCAGGACCAAGAATGATTTTGCAGATATTTTATCTGGATATAGGGTTGTAAGACACTGGCTTCAGAAAGTAAAACTTGCCTAAACTGAGTTGTTGCATTTAGATTCATTAGCTAGATTTCATTCTTCTTTAGAAAAGTCTTAGACTGTAAGCTCTTTGTGGCAGGGGCTGTCTTTGTTCTGTGTTTGTACAGCACCTAGCCCAATGGGGTCCTGGTCCATAACTAGGGCTCCTAGACGCTGTGATAATACCAATAATAACTATTTGTCTTGCACGGTGGAAAAAGAAATAGAGAGACGTATTAGGCTTCCAGGCTATTTAATTGTTTGTCTCTCTTGTCTTACAAATAGGCTACATTAGGTCCCCTGCAGATTGCTCCAGTACTACAGTCATGAATGCTACTGTGAGATTTCATCATGACAAGTCAACACATGTAACAACTGTAATAATAACCAGGGGCGGCTCTATGTATTTTGCCGCCCCAAGCACGGCAGTGAGGCAGCCTTCGGCGGCATGCCTGCAGGAGGTCCGCTGGTCACGCGGATTCGGCGGCATGTCTGCGGGAGGTCCGCCAGTCCCGCGCCTTCGGCGTACACACCGCCGAATTCCCGCCGAAGCCGCGGGACCAGCGGACCTCCCGCAGGCATGCCGCCGAAGGCAGCCTGACTGTCACCCTCACGGCGACCGGCAGGCCGCCCCCTGCGGCTTGCCGCCCCAGGCACGTGCTTGGTGCACTGGTGCCTGGAGCTGCCCCTGATAATAATATACTTCCACAAAGTTTTTGTACATAGCTCTCATGATAGTGATCCCAGAAAGAGTTATCATCCTAATTCTACAAAGGGTACAGAGTGTTTAAGGTCAGCATTTTCAAACTTGTAAAAGCAGCAAAGAGTCCTGTGGCACCTTATAGACTAACAGACGTATTGGAGCATGAGCTTTCGTGGGTGAATACCCACTTCGTCGGATGCATGAAAATACATTTTTACTCTTGCCTGTACTTTTTAATTTCTTTCTTATTTTCTCTCCATTGTTATTTATGTATGCAACTATATTACTTAACTGCTTAAAACATTTTGTATTTCAGATTGTATCACTGTCACTATACAGAATAAAAGTGATTAGTGCATACTTTATAAAGAAGAGTAAATAGGTTAAATTAGACCCACCAAATTTGCTTTAGAGTGTGTTTTGATTAATCTAGTGTCTTGTAAAAATGATTAATGCTGCATATTTTCTTTTTGTTTTCTTTTAAAGGAAATCATTGTAAGCTTGGTGTCTGGAAAATATGGAATCAATCTCTATGATGGGAAGTCCTAAGAACCTCAATGAAACCTTCTTACCAAATGGTGTTAATGGTATCAAGGATGCCAGTAAGATCACAATCGGCATATTTGGAAGTGGAGACTTTGCCAAGTCCCTGACCATTAGGCTTATAAAATGTGGATATCATGTGGTCGTAGGAAGCAGAAACCCTAAATTTGCTGCTGAGTTCTTCCCACATGTGGTTGATGTTACTCACCATGAAGATGCTGTAGCAAAAACTAACATCATTTTTGTCGCCATACACAGAGAACATTATGCCTCTTTGTGGGACCTCAAGCATTTACTTATAGGTAAAATCCTTGTAGATGTTAGCAACAATATGAGGGTGAATCAGTATCCAGAATCCAATGCAGAGTATTTGGCCTCCCTGTTCCCAGATTCGCTGATTGTCAAAGGATTTAATGTCATCTCAGCCTGGGCACTGCAGTTAGGACCAAAGGATGCCAGCAGACAGGTATGCTTTGTGTTTGAGTTCATTTAGTGTGTGTGCAGAACGAAAACTACAGTAACTGTAATAACAGCAACTCCCTGGTATCAGCTGTCAGAACCAACACTTACTGTCTTTTTCCAAAAACATTATTTTTGTGATTTTTTTTCCCTAACACCAGAGGTGAAAGTAAGCTAGTATGGTCTGGTAGGGCGTACCGGCAAGAGCCTGTACACAGCCGAATGTACCGGCAGGGGGCAGCTTCCCTGGGCTGGCAATTTAAAAGGGCCCTGGGCTCCTGGCAGCTGCCAAAGCACCTGGCCCTTTAAATTGCCGCCAAAGCCCTGCTGCCAGAGCCTTGGGGCTCCCGGCCACTGCTACCGCTACGATGGGGCTCTGGTGGCGATTTAAAGGGCCCAGGGATTTAAAGGACCTGCTCCTTCTGGTTGACCTCCCTCCCCCCTTGCTCAGGACCCCGGCCCAGCATACCGGTAAATCCCTTAAATTACTTTCGCCCTGCCTAACATCTAAACAAGGCTAGAAGCTGCGTTTCCTGCAGTGCTCTACTTTAGCTGTTAGTGATGGTATCAACTGTTGCAAGAGAAATTGTGGGAAATAAATGAATGATCTAATTTAAAACAATTTACTTTCAAGATGGCAGCTTGGATGTAACTAAAGGCATAGTTTGTTCTGTAGGCCTAGGTCTTCAACTGCCCTGAGCTCACACAGTTGAAGTAAAGGAGGAAGGCAAAGGCAGCTCAAACCTACCTTTAGTCCTCCCCCAACCTTAGGGACCTTTCCACTAGCACAGGATCTCAAGAGCCCCTCATGCTCAAGCTCCATCCCTAAATTGTCTCCCCAGAGTGCCTCCTGCGCAAAGTGGAGGAGCAGATAGGGGTTCAGCTGCTCGTTAAAGCCGCTTTAAGTTTTCTTTGCACTGCTGGAGTAGTGAAAAGGTGATTTTATAAGCAAGGGCAAAAATCTAGTCCTTGGAACCTTTGCTGGTTATGGTGCAACATGAGAAGTAACTAACCTAACATGGCTCCCAGAGCCAAGGATGAGTTTCCAAATCTGGCATTTAGAAAACAACCATCTATTTATTTTTAAACTGAGTAAATTGATATGGAATCAGATATATAAAAAATGGGACCCCCCCTCACATACATCATTTTTACAGAGCCACTTTTCAGAGTGGAACTGTGCTGTATGTAGTTATTTTATTAGACCTCAGTCAAAGTTGAACTCAAAGCTGATCATCAGTAGGTTAAAAAGATGATCAGATGCCATAGTGATGGGCAAACTATATGACTGTAGGTAAAAAAGGAGCAAAATCTAGCACTTTGTTTAAATTGTGTAATAGCACTTTTTTTTAAGTATAATGAAGTATCCCTTGGAGCTTGCGTCTTTTTTTTTTTTCCCCCTTTAACATCCTGCTAAGCCATCTCTACTTTTTTCGGAACCTGAGCTGTCAAATGCAGCTCAAATTGTTGTACAAACTATGATTAGTTAAAAAACAGAGGTCAGGTGGGGTTCCTGCTTTTGTTTTTTGTTGTTGTTGCAGCTGTCCTGGGCCATTGGGCAAGTTTTCTATTAGGGCTGTCAATTAATCGCAGTTAACTCATGCGATTAACTCAAAAAATTAATCATGGTTAAAAAAATTAATCGCAATTAATTGCAGTTTTAATCACACTGTTAAACAATAGAATACCAATTGAAATTTATTAAATATTTTGGATGTTTTTCTACATTTTCAAACATATTGATTTCAATTACAACGCAAAATACAAAGTGTACAGTGCTCACTTTATATTATTTGTATTACAAATATTTGCACTGTAAAAATGATAAAAAGTAATATTTTACAATTCATTTCATACAAGTACCGTAGTGAAATCTCTATCATGAAAATGCAACTTACAAATGTAGGGTTTTTTGTTACATAACTGCACTCAAAACCAAAACAATGTAAAACTTTAGAGCCTACAAGTCCACTCAGTCCTACTTCTTGCGCAGCCAATCGCTAAGAGAAACAAGTTTGTTAACATTTACGGTAGATAATGCTTCCTGCTTCTTATTTACAATGTTACCTGAAAGCGAGAACAGACATTTGAATGGCACTTTTGTAGCCGGCGTTGCGAGGAATTTATATGCCAGATACGATTAAGGGGAGGGGAGTTCTCTGGGTAGCCCTGATGCATGACCTCCCCCTGTGGGTAGACTGGAAAGATGTCCGTCTCGGACAGTACAGCGTCACTGTCTGGGTAGGGGATCTTTCCAGTCTACCGACAGGTCTACCCAGTCTACCCACAGATATGCTAAACATTCGTATATCCCTTCATGCTTTGGCCACCATTCCAGGGACATGCTTCCATGCCGATGGCACTCGTTAAAAAAATGTGTTAATTAAATTTGTGACTGAACTCCTTCGGGGAGAATTGCATGTCTCCTGCTCTGTTTTTTTTATTCACATTCTGCCAAGTATTTCATGTTATAGCAGTCTCGGATGATGACCCAGCATGTTGTTCGTTTTAAGAACACTTTCACTGCAGATTTGACAAAATGCAAAGAAGGTACCATGTGAGATTTCAAAAGATAGCTACAGCACTCGACCCAAGATTTAAGAATCTGAAGTGCCTTGCAAAATCTGAGAAGGACGGGGTGTGGATCATGCTTTCAGAAGTCTTAAAAGAGCAACACTCTGATGCGGAAACTACAGAACCTGAACCACCAAAAAAGAAAATCAACCTTCTGCTGGTGGCATCTGACTCAGATAATAAAAATGAACATGTCGGTTCGCACTGCTTTGGATTGTTATTGAGCAGAACCCATCATCGGCATGGATGCATGTCCCCTGGAATGGTGGTTGAAGCATGAAGGGACGTATGAATCTTTAGCACATTTGGCACGTAAATATCTTGCAGTGTTGGCTACAACAGTGCCATGTGAACACCTGTTCTCACTTTCAGGTGGCATTGTAAACAAGAAGCAGGCAGCGTTATCTCCTGCAAATGTAAACAAACTTGTTTGTCTGAGTGATTGGCTGAACAAGAAGTAGAACCCAGTGGACTTGTAGACTCTAAAGTTTTACATTGTTTTATTTTTGAATGCAGTTATTTTTTGAACATAACTCTACATTTGTAAGTTCAACTTTCATGATAAAGAGATTGCACTATAGTACTTGTATTAATTGAATTGTAAAAATACTATTTTTTATTTTTACAGTGCAAATATTTATAATAAAAATAAATATAAAGTGAGCACTGTACACTTTGTATTCCGTGTTGTAATTGAAATCAATATATCTGAAAATGTGGAAAACATCCAAAAATATTATTATAAATGATATTCTATTATTGTTTAACAGCATGATTAATCACGATTAATTTTTTTGATCACGATTACTTTAATTGCTTGACAGCCCTACTTTCTATATTTAAGTGGTTCATTCATTTTTAACATGATTTTAGCCATTGGGCCAAAGTTCATTCTAATCCTGTAGACATTTTAGTGTTGTGAATACCAGGCATCTTGAAACCAGTTTATATTAACTCAGATGATATACAGTCTTTTTATTTGGTTACCTTGTTGTTTAATCATTTTTCATATTTCAATATTGACCTGAGTTGTTCACGGTTTAATTTTTGTGGTTCAGTTGATGTGCTAGTGACAATGGCTAGTTTAGATCTTTGTACTGTGACATTTGCCTGGAGGCCTTGAAATTGTTGATTTCATCTTTAAAAGCATCTCTGTGACTAAAAATAATTAATTTGACTTTTCCATCAGGTCTTTATATGCGGTAACAATGTTCAAGCTCGCCATCAAGTTATCGAACTTGCCCGACAGCTGAATTTTATTCCCATTGATTTGGGGGCATTGTCTTCTGCAAGGGAGATTGAAAACTTACCTCTGCGGCTGTTCACGTTGTGGAAAGGGCCGGTAGTGGTGGCTGTTAGTTTGGCCACCTTTTTCTTCATCTATTCTTTCATCAGAGATATAATACATCCATATGTGAGAAACCAGCAGAGCGACTTTTACAAGATTCCCATTGAGATTGTGAACAAGACTTTACCAGTTGTTGCTATTACTTTGTTGTCTCTGGTGTATTTATCAGGACTCCTGGCAGCTGCTTATCAGCTTTATTATGGCACTAAGTATAGGCGACTTCCTCCCTGGCTGGAGAGTTGGTTGCAATGTAGGAAACAGCTGGGACTACTCAGTTTTTTCTTTGCTACCGTGCACGTGGCTTATAGTCTCTGCTTACCAATGAGGAGGTCTGAACGATACTTGTTTCTTAATATGGCTTATCAGCAGGTAAGGAACATACCATTTTTTATCTAATGACAGAAGAGAGAATCAGAATGCCTTGATTGTATTTATGTGACATATATCAGTGTCTTTGAATACATTTTCAATGGAAAATCTTTGGGGCTACATTGTGACTGCCTATTGGCCAATAGGGAAAGAGGCTACAAGGAGCCCCCTACCTTGTGGCAAGCTTCAGATGGGGTCAACCACAATCAAGTCCCTCCAGTAGGGGGAGTCTAGCATTTGTTCCCTTTTTTATTCCCCACTGGGCATGAACATTACCCTAGAGAGGGTGGGGAAGAGGCAGGCCAATGGTAAAATCAGAAGAGCACTCTTAGTTTCTGTCATCTTGGGATGTAAGGGCTGAATGATAATTCATAAGAAAGCTCAAAACATCTAGCAAGTTGTTTTCATCTCTCTGGTCCCAAAGGTTTTGGTGTGTGTATGTCATAAATGTAGATGTATGTTGTTGAAAAGGTTTTTACAGGTGGCCGCATTAATATACAAACTATATTATACACAGGGATCACTCACTGCGTCACTGAAATGCAGACACTTTTGGGCAGAGGTATGCCAGCTGTTTAATAACATGCCATAACACTACACAACCGTCTAGGACAGCAAAATCCTAAGCAAATATATGTTCCTACTAGGGAAAATGAAGATGCTGTATCACTTCTCAAACTAGTGGTAAAAAAATACATTTTGTTTACAAGAAATTCTTTGTTCCTCTACAGTTATTGGCAGGAGGCATTGACTCAGAGTTCTGAACAGCAGTTAGTTTTATATCAAAACAATCCTGGACAAAACAATCATCCTAGGCAGAAAGGTCTGCTTTTCCTAATCAAACTGTCAGTGAGGTGTCTGTTTGCCTCTTCTTCTACACTAGCATTTCATAAAGCAGGTTGGCCTTTCAGCATATGAAATCTGCAGAGCCAAGGGATGAGGCAGGAAGCAGCAGCAGCTAAGCAAATCAAGCCATAATAATGGAAAAAATAAAAGGGGATTGGATCAACAGTGTAGAAAGAAGGGTGAGCATGGAAATATTAAAACAAGACAGCTGAAGAGCATGAATGAATTTATGACAGGCATTGTGACGGGGTCTGTCAGGTCTTCTTTTCCCCCTGCAGGAGGGTTCAGTGTCTGACACTCCCCATTTAAGGAAAATCCACTCAGACTAGTGACCAGCAAGACAGTCCTACAGAGGCTTAGAAGGGCTAGGAGGAAATACTGACCAATCAAGGCCCAGCAGGCCAATTAAGAAGGCTTGCCTCCTTTTGCTCATGAGCAAAGACTGGGACAGAGCAGGACCTCCTCAAGGTTCCCAAAGAACCTAGGCCAGAGCCTTGCCTTGAGCATAGCAACAGAGCACTTGCATATGGGGGGAGTTTTTACTCTTTGTTTAAAGGCACAGACAGGCAAATCCTAAGTTGCTGTTTTGTTACTTGATTGTTCAGAGGCGCTCATGGCACAGGCTACCCTGCCCCAAGCTGGCAGCCAAATCTTGAAGACTTAGGTGGGAAGCGCATGCAATATCACACATGGCCCTGATGTGGGGATTACAGTGCAGCTCTGCCTCCCACAAACCTACACAGAATTCAGCAAGGAACCCTAATTGTTTAGGTTTACATACTTGTCAAAGGACCTGCTAGTACTTTTGTGAAGAAGTTCTCATATCTTCTATATTAATTTGAAAAATCTCACATGTCCTCATCAATGGTGGCCCCTTGCAAGAACTGACATGTAATTACAGATTTGATAGACCCCAGGGAATTGGAAATTTGAGAGATCTAATTGAGTATACAAGTGACTTGACAGTTGAAGTGAATTGTTTCTTTCCTGTCATGAGGATGTCCAAGCTCATCCATCTTTTCTATGTCTGATGTTAATAACAGAAGAGACAAAGTAATTTAGGAGTCAGCACAAGGAGTTGAAGCAATAGCAGGAAATAATGATAATTTATTTGTAAATTCAACAAAATAAAGAGAATTGCAGACCCACCCATTTTATAGTGTAGAACATAAATTGTTGATGCCTGAAAAATGTAGGTACTTTGTGTCGCAATGTGGAGAATCTCATCTGATTTCATGAGATAATTTCTATAAATAAGGAGTAGCTAATACTTTAAGCTAATGCCTGTCCTTTTTCCACTGTTTCAATATGCATTTCAACCTAATATGCACCCAGAACCCGCAGTGATGAAGCAAATAGCTTTTTCTCCAAGACATGAAGAAATCTCTAAAATATTTGACTACATTTTATATTTGTTTGTAATCTGTTTTCTTACAAAACTCAGACTGGAGACTATTACTCATCAAAAGAGCTTTTGTAAATAGTATTTAATATTCTGGAAAATAATCTTTTTTGCTGTCTCCTCAGGTTCATGCAAATGTGGAAAATTCTTGGAATGAGGAAGAAGTGTGGCGAATTGAAATGTATATCTCCTTTGGAATAATGAGTCTCGGCTTGCTTTCTTTGTTGGCAGTTACTTCCATCCCTTCAGTAAACAGTGCCTTAAACTGGAGGGAATTCAGTTTTATTCAGGTGTGTGTGTTCTCTGGTTGTTTGTGTTAATAAGAGGTTTAATGGTTAATAAGAATGCATGTTCATTTTTATTTTGAACCACACTTTTGCTATAGGATGAAATAAGGTTTTTTTTCCCTCTCAATAGTAACTGTAAAAATGATACAACTTCTCACTCAACAGAGAGAGTCCCTCTTAGAGTTGGGCAGAAAATGGTTTTCCTGTCCTCCTACTGTTTTCAGGAGTTAAACATTTTCTCGTGTCTCAAATTGAGATGAGAAGTCTCAATCTCAAAAATATTTGTGAACCAAAAAACTGAATCTCAGATTATACAGAATGTTTAGTTTTAATCATTTACATAATAATTTTGATAGTTTGAAAAGTCATTTCCAACCTGAAAACCAGAAATGTTTGTTTGGAAAGTGTCAGAACAAAACATTTTCACAATTTTGAAACTCTTTTTTTCGTTTTTTGTTTTTTTTGAGTCGAGAGATTTGACAAACTCAATCCTCTTTTACGAGCCACTTCAATTTTGACAAATGGATATATTTTGACAAAAGTGATTTGTCAAAAAAAAATCCCAAGCAGCTCTTTCTGTGTGTATTCAGTGAAATCTATCTCCATTAGTGACATTAGTATTTACTGCATTTTACTCCTGTTGGCCTTGCAGAACCAGCACAGCTAAGACTGAGTAGGCTGGCAGTATTCCTTTTTTATTGACAGAATGTATTGGGTTTCAGTCTGTTACACATGTGCAGACCCACTGCAGGCAATTCAACTGAACAGGTGTCACTGAATGAGGATGCACATAACTTTATAACTGAAGATCTAATATGGTCATTAGAACCTTTATTACAGGGGATGATGTCCTGGGTAAAAAGAGCAGATCTTGACTTTCAGATCCCAGAGTGAATTTGCAGGGCTGGCAGTTAGAACAAAACATCAGCTTACTTGTAAACAGAACAGATTCAATCTGAACTCACTGAGAGACCATAAATATTTTTGTTAATAAACAAAAGTCTGTCTGCTTCTGGTGCTTATTCTTCAAGTGAGCCATCAGAAGTACATAAACTTGTAAATTATACAGACCTTCTTTTCATGCAAATGTCCCTAACTTTTTCTTAAAAAGAGCACATAGAATGTTTTCAGTATTTTCCAGGAGGTGCCAGCAATACTTCAAGAGAGAAGTAACATATACAATAATAGCAGGCTTTGGCTGTATTTAGAATAAGTCTACAGGATTCTTGGGGCTATATTGTGTTCTTCTATTGTAAAATTGGTGGAAGAAGAACAGAAATTCGATAAAGTTTACCGCATAGAGTTTCCACTGAATGATTCCTTCAGGGGATAGGTGTTGGGGGCTGCAGAAAGGGCAGGAAATGCAGCTTCCAACGCTTTAGGTCCCTGCAATTTTCAGGAAACGATGTGGAAGGACAGCAACCTACACGGTGCTCCTCACACTTCAGTCTCCATGCAGTGTGGGTACCTGTGGTGCAATGCTGCCATTTTCTCTGACTTGCTCCCCATCCAGAGAGGGGGAGTTAATGTTGATTCCTGCTAGATTAACTCCCGATACTTTGGCAGGCTGTATTTTTGCATTTTTCAAGGGGAGCCTTTTGTCCCTTCCTCCTGCCCTGGCACACTTCCCCCCTCCCTTCACACATAAACACGTGAAGCAGAGATGCATCCACAATCTCTGGAGGTGAGCGTTAAGCTGTCTGAAGTGGCTCACGAGCGTGAGTACCAACCTCAGGGCAGACTCTGAAGAAGCAGAGCACAAACCCCAAACTGGCAGTGAGTTCTATACTTAGATTTCACCAACCAAGTGTCAAATGTGAACTCCTCAAGCACTACAATAGCCTGAACATGGAGTCACAGACAGTCCTCCTTGGGTACTCCAGTCTACCTTACTGCCTACGCAAGCTTGACTTTGAGATAGATAGTCCCTTACACCAAAAATCACAATAATATTCAGGTTACTCCTAGTCCCAAAGGACCAGTCACTTGCACCCTAGACCAAAGACCATGCTTGTAGTAATCCTATAATAAAATAACTAAAGATTTATTAACTAGCACAAGAAATACAAGGTTAAATCAGATAAACGTACACAGACATGAGTTACAATCTAAGGTTCAAAAAGGTAATAGAAGCTGCGGTAATGTGGAAGCTCTGTATGTCTTTTAGGGCTAACCCAGGCCAAGCAATAGGAAACTCTTGCTTATGCTTAGAAATCTTCACCCCTCAGAGTTCAAGCAGCATAGAGATATAGTTCCTTCTTGTCAGGGATTTATATTCACTTCCCCCAGAGTTCAAGGTGGTGGGATAAGGCCTCTTGCATGTCTCCACTTCAAGAGTGTGGGGGGAGCAATCAACAAAGTTTATGTCCTTTGATGTTTCAGAATGGCTCATTTGGTTTCAGTGGGCTTTCTTGTATGCAGGACCTAACACCTTCTATAGGAAGCTGGCATTTTACATTATTTAATGCTTCTTTCCTGTTTGAGTTATACGGTTACAGAGGTTTACAATGCAAACCCTTAATATAACCTTATAACATAGGGTATAGATGTTAAGTGAGATTAATACATGAAGCATCTTGCAAGCATTTCATAAAGTCTAAACACATTCTTATAACTCTAATATCTACTTTAATAATACTAACACCCAGGTGAGCCAGACTGGTTTCCAGCTCTGCATTTGTCAGTATTCAGTGAGGCCTAAGGGCCTTCACATGAGCTGGCACCTGGTCTGCCAGCATCACAGTGGGAACATGTCACGTTGTCCTTCTTCCACTTCCATATGCTTTATTTTTATTTGCTGCCCTCCATAAATCACAGCATGTAGGGCCTTTGAAGGGCAAAGCATAGCTAGCTCCTAAATGCATTATACTCATGAAACTGGAAGTAAGAGACTGCATTTGCTATACATGTGGCATAAAGGAGGCCTTTCATCCCCATCAGCAGGCATTCCTGACTTGCAGAAGTCACCATTTTAATAGTACTGCCACTGTCTGATGAGAGACAGACTGTCATGTCACTGGACCAACCCAGAACTGGCTAGGAACTTCCATGCAGCAGCTGGGAAAATGCAGGCATGGCAGCCCAACATATGTGTAGATCACATAGAAGGATCAGAAAAACACTTAGCAATAAGCTGTGGTGAAGCACTTCATATACTTCCTGTGTGTAACACATCTTAAGTAGTACCGAAAGCTGATAGAGAAGAAAATAGACATAACCAGCAAGAAGCATTGAGACATACAAAAAGCACAAGTCCCAATTAATCACAGAAAGGTGTCAGCATGAAATGAAATTATTGTCACCTTTAAGCTGTGGTTATTGATATGAAGTACTAATAGACTTACGTCTGTTGCCATGAGACATTCTGATAGAGCACGTCTGAAAAGTGTGTATTTTGCTATAGTTTGGAGTGTATTAATGTAGGCCTTACTCAGAGTCCTGTCTGACTAAGGTCTGGTTTGTCCCATTGTAATTACATTGCCTAGTTCATAATCCTGTCACTGTTGACTGATTCTTGCCTATGTAGACTCAGACACTTTAAGGTCAGAAGGGACCATCGTGATCATCTAATCTGACCACCTGCACATTGCAGCCACAGAACCTCACCCACTGCTGAAATTTATCCAGCTCAATCTTGAAGCCGATTAGGATTTTTACCCCCACTGCTCCCCTTAAAAGGCTGTTCCAGAGCTTCACTCTTCTGATAGTTAGAAACCTTTGCCTAATTTCGAGCTTAAACTTGTTGATGACCACTTTACATCCATTTGGTCTCGTGTCCATATTGGCGCTTAACTTAAATAACTCTTCTCCCTCCTTTGAATGTATCCCTCTGATGTATTTATAGAGAGCAGTCATATCTCCTCACATGTAACACACATCATCACTACTTTAATAATTAGGGCTCTAGAAGGGCTTTGTAAATTATAGCCATTTTAAGGGGAGTGACATTGAACATTGCATTAGTTGCAATTGTCAGAGGTGTTCTGTCTGTGGAGGGATTCCTCCTTCTCTCTCTTTGGGTTTCTGTCAAGGGAGGAATCTATAAGAAACCTCCAGCAGTGGTTGCTGAAGAAATGTGTTGAATCAGCACTTCCCCTAACTGACCTGGCTCTTCCCCCTCCCTGACAAGTGCCACCCACTTCTTAGGTAATGAAGAGAAGCAAAGTTGTGGCCCTTTGCATTTCCATAACCTCACTACCAGGCAGACTTTCTCCTTCAGAAGTTCTCTGCCTGGAACTATGCTAGAGATGATGGTATGAACTAAATCTTCAGTTTAAAATAAAACAACAACAATTAGTCACAGGTGATTTGAGCCATACATCCAGTGTATGATTAGGAACTCCAGCAGCAAGTCCTGCAATTGTAGCTTTTCCTTACAAAAGTTTCCAAACTTGGGCCTCAGGTTGTGGAGGTAGAAATGTGCATGCAGGCAAATCATTGTGCAATTGTTTTGTGGTCTTTGAAATGCACTGGTATACCACAACTATTCCCACTGTAATAAAAATCAACTTGTTTCTAGTTATCACAGCTTATAAACTGTAATGAAATGCTGAGAGATGATTCAAGACGTCTGACTGGTGTACAGGACATTCCTCCTCTAGACATGCCCTCATGTGAAACTGCATCACACATTAAAGAGAATTTGGACAAATTGTCTTTTTAATTATCACCTTTGGTGTGCAATGGCAGTAATAATTGAAACACAAGGTGTTTCCTTGGGATTAATGACCAACTAAATGTAATGGTCTTTAGCTGTTTCTCGGAGCATTAAATGTTCCCTAGCTACTCATTAATTCTTAGGAAACATCCTCTGCCTCAAGCCTTGTTTCATAATCACTGACCTTACAAGGGTTATTTTACCCAGGAAAATGAAGCTGGCATTCCACCACACATTAACAGCGATTAAGTTCAAATCTCATATAGAGTGCTTAGGCAGAGCCAGATAAAATACAGCAAATGCCCTTTTAGAGCTATTTCTCCATCTACTGAAATACAATATTATAAAGAAGGTTTGTACTTTATGATTATAATCCTGCCTGAAATCAGCAGGAGATGCAGAGTGGAATAAGGGCTGGTCAGCTCAGTATAGCCAGGGGAGTTGGTGCTGGAGTAGCATGACACTAGTTTTACTCCTGTATCTAGCAGAAGCATAAATTTTTCCAAAGCAATAGCTGCTGAAATTCTCACTTCTATCCTACAGATGAGGGCTCAGTGTAAGAACCTGCCAAGCTAGAGCCTGGTACTCACGGGATTCTGGCTGATGCCTCTGCATCACCACTAGAGGTTTAGGTCGGGCATCCTGAAGAGGACCCTGCAAAGCTAGAGTCGAGAGGAAGTACCACCCTTCAGGGCCTGAGTGGCCAATACCAGTATATAAAACCAGGACGCCATGATGAGGAGCTGTCTGAGCAACACCACAGACCACCTGTCTGCTTCTGACCCTCCTAATGACAGTCCTGAGACTCTGGCTTCTGACCCTGGTTTGTTCTTTCCCTGTCTCTCTGATTGCTATCTGTAACCTGGTGCCTGACCCGGTCTCCTGATAACATGACCTTGCCTGCCTCTTGATGCCTGACTCTGTTTGCCCTCTGACCTATCTTGGACTCTGACCTCCTGGCATTGGACTTGGACTGACTTCTGCTCTGACCACTAGGTCAGACCACCCACATCCTGTTTGTGACACTCAGCATCATTGCAGCTGCTCAGTTTCTGACCTCCCCCTTCTGACACTCCCCCTTCTGAGAGCTGCACACTCATGCAAATGCTGTTTCTAGCTCACTTTGCTGAATTCACTTGGTTTCTAAGGGCTTGTGTAAATGGCAATTTACTGTATGGCAAGCCACAGTGTTAATCTACAGCACATCAGTTTGCTTCACAGTAACATCTTGTGTGGACACTGCTACAGTGCACTGAAAGTCCCGGAGTGCAGCTTGGCATACTTTCATTGCACTGTAGCAGTTTCCACATGGGATCTTACTGAGTGGCAAGCTGGTGTGCTGTAGATTCACACTGGGCCTTGCCAGTTGCCATGTAGACAAGCCCTAACTGAGTCAACTAGGCCACTTTTCAGGGGTATGTCATGTGTTTGTTATTGTGCTGTATCACACCTGAGTAACAATCAGAACAGTGCACAAGCCTAGACTATATGAAGAGCAGCCCTTTTCTATCTGGGCAGGTTTACTAGTGCAGAAGAGAGGAGATGAAGAGGGTAGTAAACTCAGAAGAAAACCCCATACTCCACTCCTTGTGTGACTGGAGTTTAATTGTTGTCAGACTCTTCTGTTTTAGGTGAAACAGTAACATAATGTTCTCTCAAATCTTAGTCCTCTGATGGCATTTAAATAAAACTAAACTTTCTCTGCTTAAAGGATGAAAATTCTCTGTAAAGCATTTCATTATCACTGGCTTTCTCCAATAATTGTTATATAATATTACCCATAGCTGAGCCTGCTGAAGAAATGAGCAGTCAGATTCACTAAGTTGTTCCATGTTTACACTGGTGTAACAGCACTGATTGCAAGGGAGTCACACCAGCATAGAACTGGAACAATGCAGTGGTGAGTCAGGCCCAAGCTTTTATTTGTCATCTGAATTTCTTTCCAGAATATCGGGCAAGATCCTGCGTATGCCAAATTATACCAAATAGTATCTGGCCTATGATGTTCAATTTCTTGGGGATTTTTGTTCTTGTTCTTTTTAACTAAATAGGTAGTACATCTAAAAAAATGCCAACACAACTCTGGAAACCATTGTGTACACTGGAAAAAGTAATGCATAGAAAATAGCAGCTTGCTATACGCAAAAGTCTGTTACCTTCCTCAAAAGATTGACAGAAATATTTCCCTTTTTTGTGTCACTGAATCTTTTGCCCTTTTGCCCTTCAGGCTGTACTTTTCCTTAACGACAGGAGAGAGGTTAGGTTTCTACCTCTTTATTTGTACTGTAGTTAGAGAACAAAATATTGGTGGCCAGTTTTGATTATTCTTCCACTAAATCTTTCCCAACTGAGTGACACCTTACATCACTTTTGTGGTGAAGTGTTTCCTTTCATACGATAAACATCACAGTTAAAAGCACCGCTGCAGTCATTTTTAAGGTGGTTTGGGATTTCTAGAATGCAGGCTAATGCTTTTAACTTGGAGTCTGCATAATTGTTTTGTTGATGATGTGCTTGTTTTTACTTGGCTACACAGATTCTTAGGATTAGGTGTGGAGTGTAGCCCCTACACTCCAGATATCCCCATTAACTAGTTGTCAGGGAAGGGACATGATATTAAAATGAAAAGTTTTAAAGCACTCAATTCAAGAAATTAAGTTAAGCCAAAGCTAAGATTACCTGTGCAACTTTACCTCTTGTGCATAAGCATAGAGATGTAGTACATTTCCACTCATGTGATCTTTTAAAAAGATACCATACAATTTTTTCTACAACTGTTTACACCTGTAACAGGCTGTTTTGTACTGCCCGATAAAGGGAGGCAACAAAAATTGTTTATACACAAAAGAATGGGGGTAAGGATCCCTATGGAAACCCTAATCACAATTGTGTTTTATAAGGATGTCAAAAAAGTTATATTATTTCAGAGGGAAAGAACAATCATGCAGCTAAGAATCATTTTTAAGTCAGATTCAGCTATCATTACACATGCAACCTTAATTTCCTGACTACTGAGTGCTTAACTGGGCAGCTTTAATGTTCTTTTTGCTTAGGTTTTTGCAATGAATTTCCCATGTTTTTTTGAGCGATAGGAAGAAAAGGCAGAGCACCTGCATCTCATACTGGATTTTATCTGGGGAGTATCCAATTAATGGGTGTATGCTTGTGGTATCATCACCGTAAAGAGTGGTCCAAGTCTTGATTCCACCGTCTGACCAGTGGAACTGGGCCATTGTGATGGGGAAGCAAGCAGCACCCTTTAGGGGTGTCACAGTTTACTCCTTTCTCCCTGTAGGCGCAATGATGATCAGGGAGTTCCTTTCCAGGGCTCCTCCTGCATAGCCACACTGCTCGATACTCATGACTGAGCAAACCAGCCCTTTGTTCTCTCATGCGACACACTGGGTACCTGAATCTGATATCACAACACCAGTTTTACTCTTACATAACTCCATTAACTTCATTATTTACACCCCTGAAACTCAACTGACTGCCAGATTTTAGATTTTGACTAGTTTGTTTGCTTTACATGTTTGAGGACCTCTTAGCCTTTCAAAGTAGAGCAAGCATGCAGGCCTGTGGAAGCCAAGAGGGATGGGATGTAAATCAGGGTAGAATTTAGCCCTTAATTTTCAGCACATTACAATAATGAGTACATTGAGATTTTTTTAAATAAAATTGAACCTGGCTGAAATTTTAAAGGTATAGAAGGCGTGGCTGATAATGGGTCAGGTTTTAACTTCTGTTTCTTTTCCCTGTTTTTTTTCCAAAGTCTACGCTGGGATATGTCGCTCTGCTCATAAGTACTTTCCATGTGTTAATTTATGGGTGGAAAAGAGCCTTTGAAGAAGAATACTACAGGTTTTATACACCACCAAACTTTGTTCTTGCCCTTGTTTTGCCTTCTATTGTAATTGTAGGTAAGATCATTTTACTCTTCCCATGTATAAGCAGGAAACTGAGAAGAATCAGAAGAGGCTGGGAAAAAAGCCAAGTTATGGAAGAAAGAGGTGGGACTGTTCCACATCTCTCACCAGAAAGGATTACGGTGATGTGATGGTAGAATAGTGTCCATTAGCACTATAGTTGTCACTGGGTTTTTTTTGTTTTAAAACTTGTGTTTTTAGGAGTTTATATAACGCACGTGTAAAAGTTGCTATGGACTTGCTTGGCATATGGTACAGGCTCTCAGCCAAGGAATGAGCAAATTTATTGTTCTTCAGAAATTTTTTTTAAAAAAATCACATAAATTTTAAGTTACAAAAGGGCAAACAATGTGAAATCAGGATTTTTGTAATGCTTCTTTGCACAATTTGTATCACAAACATTGTGGTTTTATAATTAAAACCAAATGTTCCAGACAGCATTTCTTTGACTGATAGCATATGTTCCAGACAGTACTTTTTTTTATTAAAACCATCCTTTTTTAGTTAGTCCAGAATGTAGAGTAATAGATTTTAATGATTTAGGAAATAAACATGTTTTGAAACAGCTGAGATTAAATTTTTAATGGTTGAAATTATTTATTGCACACGTACATTACACATATTTGTGTAGCTCAACAAGGATTTTGAACCAAAACATGACTTGAATATAATAAAAATGTGAGTTGCATTAAGGAATATGATTTCAAAGTGCTGCATATGGTTTTAGACATGTAATGTCCATTGACGTTAATGAGTCACGCAGTGAAAATCCAATCCAATACTTTGAAAGTGCAAGAAGGACTTATATAAATTTGTACAATCAACTAATGATCACTTTAAAAATAAAACATGCCAAAAATTATTTTAAAAAATTAAAGTTGGGAGAAATTTGCAATAAAAAAATTCAACTTTATGGGTGAAACTTCCAATATCTTAAGCACAATAGAGAACGACCATAATGTTAATGTTATCTGTGTGTTTCTGTGGCGGAGTTTCAGTTATGGCACATTAATTTGCCTCTCTTTCAACCTTAAGATATTTTAATGTATTTTTGTTGCACAAATAATGTTCTATTTTTATATGAAACTTTTGTTTTTACAGCCAGCATCTGTGGGGAATGCTTTACTGTGAATTTTTAAGAAACAAAAACAAATATTGCTATACTTCAGCATTTTAACATGAGTTGATGATCTCGTGAAATGGAAATTTCCCTCTAAAATTTGTAATTCTGGTTTTCTGAGGCTTTCTGAATGTTGTTTAGAATGATTTATCAATGACTACTTAGCATGTTTTGTTCCTTTTTAAGGAATAGGCCAAACTGTACTCATTTACACTCGTGCTGCTCCTATAGAAATCAGTGGAAGTTGTTCCCATGCATCAGAGTGCAGAATTTGGCTCTATATCTCTACCTATTTTTGCAGTATTACAGCTCTGCTGTCTTTAATTGTTTTCTTTCCTCACATTTTTGCAATAATTTGCCATCATTATGATAAATATTTGCAATATGACTCTGATCCATATAGCACTTGTGTATACTTAAGTTCATGAGTAGTCCCATTGACTTTACTGTCTACATTTGTAATGAACCCTATACCCATGCAATATGTACTTAGAGCCAAATTCTGCTCCCACTTACATCAGCATAAATCCAAACTAACTCAGTGCCAATTGTTTTTAGTTTCATTACAAAATCAAGAACCCCAATCAGGTTTTTCAAGATTCATTATAGCCTCCAAGCCTTTCAAACAAACCTAGACCCATTTATGGTTTTGTCAGAATCACAAGAAATCTGCAGTTTTACATGGTTTCACCTGTGTTCTGCTTTACATATAGGGTTTGTTCAAACTCAAAACCCAGACTGAAACTCCAGGCAGAGGACTTTCTCAAAATGACACAACATAGAGTGAGACAAAGTGGGTTAGTTAATATCTTTTGTCTTTAGAAAGCTTGTCTCTCTCATCAACAGAATTTGGTCCAATAAAAGATATTACTTCATCCACCTTGTCTCCCTAATGCCGTGGGACCGACACAACTACAACAACACTGCATACAAAATTAAGTGTTTGCATGAACCTCTGCCAAGCTAAACAATCAGTATTGCTTGTCTCTAGCTCTCTTTACTATCCAGTGAAACCCCACCAAAAAAATGGGGGTTAGACAAATGGGGGATTCAATCAATTTTCTTGACATATTTTGAAAAACATGTCATTTAAAAAAAAAATTGGCGGGGGGACTCAACATTTTCAAAAAAATTCATTTTGAAATAGTGGGGAGTTCCCAGTTTCTTGCAATTTTATTTATCCTCCTCAGCCACCCCATTTTTTAATTGCCCCCTACTAGAAGCAGAAGGAGGAAAAATCCACTTCTCACTTTTTTTTTTTTACGTGTTCCCCTTGTAAAGTTAAAAAGTTAAACTTTTAAAGCTTTTTTGCATTTTTCCAATAGAAAAAAAAAGTTTAAAAATGAGAGAAAGCAGTCTGTTGTCTTTTTTGTTTTTAAACCGTTCTACTGTATTTTCACTTGAGAAGAGGGGGGGAAAGTAAAATAGAAAAAAATCCAAAGAAATTTTTTTCTAAATGAAATTTTTAATTTTGTTTATATCATTTAAAATTAAGTGAAAAAGGAGAAAAAGTAAAAAATTTCAAATGTATTGAAAACTTCATTTTCTTTCAAAAATTTTCACAAAAAGAACAACATTTCAAGAAGCTAATCTAAGTTTCTTTTTGCAAAATGCCTGTGTCGTGAACAGTCAGATGGATCATGCTGTACTATATGAGCACAGTTATTTTATTAGATGAATAAAAGAGATACTATCAATATTATAGAAAGAAAGGGCATTACTAACTTTAAGGGAATAATGCTTTCAGGTAAATATGAACAAATGACAAATAGAACTTCCATTTACTGTGTTTGTGTGTGATTCACTCCAGTACAGAAAACTTTGCAAACGTCTCCACACCACTTAAAATGAAGAAGGGATATACAGATGCCTCCAGATTGCACATAGGTGGATCCAGTGGCCTAAATTTCCTCTGTCAGGGGTGCAATTTGCCCTCATGCAGACAGCCAGCACAAGGCCCAGGGCCTGCACTTCCACTAGGCGACCCTAAGCAGTCGCCTAGGGCAGCAGGATTTGGGGGACGGCATTTTGCCACCCTCGGCGGAAATTTGGCGGCGGGGGGGGGAGTCCTTCCGCTCCGGATCTTTGGCAGAAATTCGGCGGCGGGTCCTTCACTCGCTCCAGGAACTGCCGCTGAAGTGCCCCGAAGACGTGGAGCGGAAGGACCCCTGCCGCCGAAGACCCCAGACCCCCTGAATGCTCAGAGGAGGAGCGCTGCTGGCTAGGGCGGCAAAAACCCTGGCACCGCTCCTGACAAGGCCTATGCACTTAGGCCCATATCCTCAATGGTATTTAGCTGCTTAGCCCCCATTGAAATCATAGGAGTTAGGCGCCTAAATACTGTTGAGGATTTGGGCCTTATGCCTCAGTCCTGCAAACACACTTATGTACATAAGTATCTTTCCACACATATGTAATTCCATTGTCTTCAATAGAACTATTCACTTGCTCAGAGTTACTCATGCACATTGATGTATGCAGAAATGGGCCCTTGAATCCTAGTTTGGAGGCTTATGTGGGGTATAGACCTTGTGTTGTCCCCCTGCACAGCAGTGAATTTCCCCAATGTGTGCAGAGGGTCAGCAGCCACTATACCAAGCTGTAAAGAGGGGTAGGTGGACTTTGTCACTTAGTGTCTTAGTGACTTAGTTCCCCACACAAAACCCAATTACTGTGTTGGGAGGGATGAATTCTGCCCTAAGAGAACAGTATTTCTAACTTATATTGGAATGTATGACGTCCTGAAGACTCAGAATACGGTAAATGCCATGGAGCAAATTCTGCTCCCAGTTCTACTCCAGCAGCCCTATTGAAATCACTGAATTTCCATGGGTACAACTGAGCTAAAATTATTACTGATTGTGACTATTACTATTTCAATATTTAATATGTTTGTATTAATTTTATCATAATATATAGAAATGCCAACTAAAATTCATCTTCCCTAGAACTTTCCAGATCTTGTTTGATGTTTTAAGAATATTGCTGTAGTACTAATACCGTATTAATATTGTTGCATTATTAAAATACAGTAGCAACTGTGCATTGCCACCTTAGTCCATCTGTTCTGTGGTGTGTAATGCACTATATTTATCCTTATTCCTATGCAAAAAGAAATACTTAGTTCTAACAGGAAAAAAATCATACAATGTAGTATGCTGCTTAACATATGTAAAAAGTAATTAGATCATTTCATGATTAACTCATTTCAAGAATGTTTAAACTCATGGTAAATCTGGACCACGTGACGTTTCTTAAAATGTTGTCATGGATTGGTGGGGGGGTTTTCAACCATGTGTATGGGAAATAAATATGCGCTTTTTATTTTATGTGTCTTGAAAGTTGAAATATTGAAGTGTGAAGAAATAGCTTATATTTTTGGATCAACTAAATTAAGAAATTTTATGAAATATTTGTGCTATATATGTACTAGTGTACCCAGCTAGCCTATGTATTCATTTCTAACTGGAGTAACAAGCTGACTTGCTATTAAATCTTTTGTAATTTACTTTATTGTAAAGATTGATTCTATTTAGCAAGAATTCTGAAAGTAAAATGACAAGGTCTTGCATGGCACATATTATGAATCAGATCCTGCCAACTTCTATTCATGCAAGAAATCTTTCTTCATGTGGTTAATCTCATTGATTTCTACGGAACTGTTTGCATAAGGACTTCTCCTGTGAGTCCAGATTTCCAGGATCAAGTTCTAAAGTCAAAATTCTCAATGTTGGTTGCCTACAGTTAGACATCTCCATTATTTAGGTGCCTAAATATAGATTTAGGTGCATAACTTCAACAACCAACTTTGAGAATGATATATTTTTATACAACATTGCATTCACCATTTATTGATTGTAGGGATATCCTATATATTATGTCCTATATAGTATGAAAACAACTGAATTCTCTTCTGTGCCACCAAGGGTGGCCAAACTTACTGACCTGCTGAGCTACATATGACAGTATTCAAAAGTTCGAGAGCTAGGTTGCGACTGCTCAGGGCTTCAGCCTTGCTCCTGCTGAAGTCCTGATCCCCAGCAGGCACACTCCGTGGGGCTGAAGACCTCAGACTTCCCTCTCTGCTGGACAGAAGCCAAAGGGTCACATGTCTACCCGAATTTTTGCCAGGGTTTGCTGGCCCCA